GGAAGATGCTTCCATTGGTAGGACAGTCTAGGACCCGAAGGCACAGCCTTAGAGTAAAGGGAAGACCTTTTAGAACGGAGATAAGGAGAAACTTCTTCAGCCAGAGAGTGGTGAACCAATGGAATTCACTGCCACACAAGGCTGTGGAGCCCAGGTCATTGAGTACATTTAAGACTGAGATAGATAGCTTCTTGATTATCAAGGGGATCAAGGGTTATGGGGAGAAAGCAGGAGAATGGGGTTGAGGAACTTATCAGCCATGATTGAATGGCGGAGCAGACTCAATAGGCCGAATGGCCTAATTTCTGTTCCTATGTCTAATGGTCTTATAAACTGGCAAATTAACTGAATCATCACTTATTCTTCGTTGCCAGTGCAAACAGTAGTTAGGACTTGTAGTGACTGGAACCAAGTTGACTTAGTTGACTACAAGGTTCTTGATTGGGGTTGTTAATTTGGGCCAATCAGGAAAGCCTTGGGTGACCAATATAACCAGGAGATTAGAATCTCCTCAGTTGAGGATTGACTCTGTGCTGGCTGGTCACACCAGTGTACTGTGCACTAGTAAATAAAGGGTAAGGGTAAGGGTAAGGGTAAGGGTAAGGGTAAGGGTAAGGGTGACTTGGTGATGGGATCCAGCCTCTGTGCAGTTATTTCAGGGATGGATATTAACTTGGAGTATGGAGGGAGTAGAGGGAATTAGTTTGTGTTATAAAACCTTAAAAGAAGAAATTTCCTAACAATTGTGTATTTAACTATGGAGAGGGATTGTGGAATTTGTTGAGCCAGAGGGATCTCAGTTCACAAAAAGCTTGTATGCAGGTACAGCAACTGATTAGGAAGGCAATGGGATGTTAGGCTTTTACTGCAGGAGGAATGGAATATAAAAGTAGGAAAGTTTTAGTGCAGCGGCACAGGCCTTGTTGAGACCATGTCAGAAATAACATGTACAGTGTTGGACTTCTTTTTTAATAAAAATACTGGAAGCAGTTCAGAGAAGATTCACTTGACTGATTCTTGGAATGAGGGGCTATCTTATGAAGAAAGGTGGAGCAGGTTTTGCCTATACCACTGGAGTTTAGAAGAGTGAGAGTTGATTTTATTATAAAAATAAGATACTGAGAGATAATGCAAGCAAGATATGACTGATGCTGGAGATCTGAAATAATAACAGAACATACCAGAGAAACTCAGCAGGTCTGGTAGTATCCATGGAGAGAGAAACAGAGTAAGTCATTGGGGTTCAGTGACCCTCTTTTGGAACGCCATGCTGGGGACATTTGATGATTTGGATACTGGGAGGATATTCCCTCTTGTAGGGAGACTAGAACTAAGGGACAGGGTTTAAGAATAAGAGGTGGTCCTTTTAAGTCAGAGATCAGGAGAATTTTTTTTCTCATAGACTTGTTAGAATGTGGAGTTCTGTTCCACAAAAGCAAAAGGATTTGATGTTTAGTTTATTCAGGGCAGAGTTAGATAGATTTTTGATAGACCAGAAAGTCATAACCATGGGTTACGGGGAGCAGACAAGAAGTGAAGCTGACCACCCAATTGCTTTTGACCTTCTCAAATGGTGCAGCAGATTTAAAGGACCAAATGGTCTACTCCTGATCTCAAATACTATATTTCTACGTAATGACAGGATCTGATTAGCAATTTGTCTGTTCCTGACTATTGCCAACTAGACTGAAAGGCTGGCTGGTTAACAGTCTGCTGGGATTCTGGCAACAAGCTACAACAGGGAAGATGGGAATGCTGGTGGACATTTGTGGAAGGAGGAAGATTGAAAACTGCATTTGGCAATATTGGGAAAGCCAGCATGTGCATAAGGGTGGCACGGTGGTTCACTGGTTAGCATTGCTGCCTCACAGCGCTGGGGATCTGGGTTTGACTCCAGCCTTGGGCAACTATCTGTGTGAAGTTTGCACATTCTTCCTGTATCTTCATGGGTTTCTACCTGGTACTCTAGTTCCCTCCCACAGTCCAAAGACATGCAGGTTAGGTGGATTAATCATGGTAAATTGCCCCAGAGTGTCCTGGTATGTGCAGATTAGATGAATTAGCCATGGTAAATGCAAGGTTACAGTGATAGGGTGGGGATCTGGGTGGAATGCTCTTCAGAGGGTCAGTGCAGACTTGATGGGCTGAATGGCCTCTTTCTGCATGGTAGGGATTCTATTATTCAAAGACTGTGTGGTGGTGGGATTATCGGAATGTGAAAACTGGAACCATGGAAGTTCAGGAAGACGAGTAGGGATGATAGAAGGAAGATTAGAGAGCTTGGTGGATGAAAAATGTTGGAAGCCAGAACAAGGAAGGATCAAGGAGATTGAAGGAGAGTGTTTTGGTATGGGGTCTATCAGCATTGCAGTGGCCAGGGTGAGGGGAGATCAGAAAAATCAGGGATGCCGTTCGGGGTGGTAGTTGATAATTAGAAGCTTGATGGGTAGGACTTGGGGGAGTAGTGTCGGTCTCAAGGAATGACAAAGCCAGTATATTGGACTCAGCAGGTAAATAGATACTTGCCTTCTGAATCAAAAAGGCCTTGCCTTCTTTTAATTGGAAGGATTCCTGAGGCACAAGAAGTCAGCCAGCCATGGTTAGAATTGTAATTAAATATGTGGCACTCAGTCTCAATATACTATTTAAATTGCTAACCACCTTTATCAAGCTGTTTGGTGTCCCGTCTTCGTCAAAACTGGAAATGTTGCTTGGTGGTAGGTTGGGGGTCAAGATTCAGATTTTTACATCTAACCCAAACCCACTGTTTTGGAGTATTAAATTTCCCACTATTATCTCTTTCTCTTGCGATTTAATGATTGTAAAAATATTTGCCAAACAACAAGAACACAAAGAGAGAAAGTTATTATGTAAGAATTCATGATTATCAGTATGAGATATTTAAATTTCTAGGTTATAGATAATATCCAGGTAAGCCAATTGCAAGATTGCGAAGAGGTCCAATTTTACAAATGGACACATGAACATATATGGCTTGATATTATTGTTCACCCACTGTTGCATGTGAAAGTGGTGGGATCCATAAAATAAAACCAGGTCATCTCACTGCCTACTTCCCCACTCCTGACCTGTCTCCTGTGTATATTTTTGCTGTACAGAGATGTTATTACACAACTGTGGAGCAGGTGGGACCTGAACCCAGGTCTCCACAGCCTTGAGATAGTGACACTACCGCTGTACCACAAGACCCCTCACCTGTCTCCTATATTACAGTGAACAGGCATGGCATCAGCTGGCCTGCTGGGGCCTTTCAATGGCCAATTAAGGATTTCATTTCACCTCCACATTTACAAGAGGCCAGGGAAGACAAGAAGCAAGGTGGTCCCAAGCAGTATTCACTATGTGGGCTACTGTCAGGCAGGATGGACGATATCACCTTTAAGGGGTACCCTGTGTCCATTGGAGGCACCCCTCCCAAGATCATCATTTCCTTTAAGCTCCCTTCCTAGTTTCTCCCAGTTCTCCCTGTCCTTTCACTTGGGCCATCCAAAGTCTTGACTAACCTCTAAGTCTGCTTTCATAAGCCATCTTTCTAGATTAGCTGTGATCCCAGCAGTGTCTGCCACTTGATCCTGGCATTGCCGAGATGTCAGTGTATGCCGTCTTCCCCACATGGAGGTGGAAGCCCACTCAAAAACAATTAAGACTGCTCCCCAGCATAATACCACTGTGGGCTGGCTGAATTTTGAATCACTAACAATCAACTTTTTGACCAAGGGAGATGGTAAAACCCAGCCCATGTATTCTTTCCTTTTCTACTTACTGCACACAAACGTGAACTCTTCCATGTAACAGTACTACTACGTAAGTGAAATGCTGAAAACAGTCTCTGAATTGGTTTATGAAAACTGTTCAACAGATATTCTGTCAGAAAATAAAAGCATAAGAGCATTTCCTTACAGCAGTCATTTTGCATCAAAACAATTTTTCTGCAGCTCTGCCTTCATAAGTATTATATCATGTATTTATGCCATGTATAGTTCCAGTGTACGTTTCATTCACTGTTATCGCTCTGGGTTTAAAAATTTTGATTCCATGCCTGAATCTCTATAATCAGGTTCCTGGTTCTGGCCACTTTAATGAAATGGGACTTACTAAAGTCACAACCTACAATTATTGGGTGTGAACTTGACAAACTGTCTCTTTTCAGCCTACCTGGAGCTTTTGACATGTTTGACTGACACTGCCTCCTGAAATTATCTTTCATGGTGTCCAGCTGGTTAGGACAACCCTCAGCTATATCCATCTGATCTAATCATCTCATTTTCATGCTTAACCACAGCAGCTGAACTTTCAACTGTCGCGGCCATACATTTTGGAATCCTCTCCCTAAACCTCTTAAACCCGCTAACCTACTTTTAAGATGCTGCGTAAACCTTTGACAAATCTTCTGGTGTCCTGCCTTGATTTTTTTCTCATTTGATTCAGTGTGAAATACTGTCTTTTTGTTGATACCATTCCTGTTTAAAACGTAGGTACATTACACATTGCTAGTTACAAGCCAATATTTAAATTCAAGTTGTTGTTGCTTATAAAAAGGCAATCACAACAGTCTATCACTTGGAGACAGTAAGGACTGCAGATGCTTGAAGCCAGAGTCAATAGATGTGAAGCTGGAAAAGCACAGCAGGTCAGACAGCATCCGAGGAGCAGGAAGGTCAACGGCCCAAAACATTGACATTCCTGCTCCTCAGATGCTGTCCGACTTGCTATGCTTTCCCAACTTCACATCTATTGACCCCACAACAGTCTGTCGATCTTTTGGCTGCAATATACATTTGTGGAAATCCTAACTTGGGAGCTGTAATTTAGCATGATGTTGGGTTTACAAACAATAGCCTACAACCCAAGTGGAACATTTGGTTGTGTTGATATGTAGGACAATAAACTTGTACTAACAGCTTTGTTCTGCACATACTTTATTTTAGTAGATGCACTTGCCATGTGCTAAATTGTCTTTTCTTTCTTTCTCCCTTCAGAAACAGATGGGAAAGCAGACAACATTTATAGGAAGCCCCCTGTCTACAGGCAACATGGTACTGTTTGTTAATTTCATGCTTTACTATCACTTTGCATGGTGTTGCAACGTTAGGGTGTCATTTCATGGATTAGCTCCTAAACTGGTTGTATCTACCTGTTACCGAATTTTTGAAGTGCATATATGAAACTTGAAACACCTGTCTTTTCAACTGCTTGCTTGCATTATATTGTTTACATTTCAATGATTACCTTAAATCTTCTAAATATTCAAAAGGCTGCTGAAAGACAAGTAGTTTGTGCAATTCTTAACAAGTTGCATTTTTAGAGACCGTGTTCCACATCGTTTTCATGAAGTAAGGATGGAAATGTTGCAAGCCAAGGTCGGGTAGACTTGTTCCAGAGACTTCTGATTGACGGTAGTGGATGCATCCTTTGCTGTGAATACATCCCTAATGTACCCAATTCTGTTATTCATTAATAAGAATTTGAGAGGGAGAGCTCTTTTTTGCATTGTTGATAGCCAATGCTACAGGCTGAAGCAAGCTAGCACTCAGATGTAGACTCATCATATCAATCTGTTGGGTGCACAACTGCCAACTAGATAGTGTGTCATTCACTACTGGTTGTAAACTTTGCCAGAATGGACAGATGTCCTTTGAAACAAGGGTACATAAGAAGGGATCAAAAGGGCAACAGGTCCATCAATTAAAGAAAACTAGTGAAAAGCATTAACTGTATAAACATGGCAACATTTACAGTATCCTTAGTGTTTCAGATATTTCTCCTTACCTGTGAAAATAGGGTCTAACATAATCAAAGCAGCTTCATAGAGTGATGACTTCATTCTTCAATTTATCTATCCACCAGCATTCATAGGATCAAAGAATCCCTATTATTTTTGTTTCAAGATTCATGGGTGATTTCTTTAAATGCACAGTCCCTTTAATTTTTTTTTGCAACAACATACCTTTGTATTTTAAAGGGGGCAATTTATAAAGCCGTGCAGCATAGAGCAAATGTTACTAGCCATGCACTGAAATTGTACTTATATTAGTGCCTAAATGATATTGCAATATACTGTTACTGTCACATAGTAACTATTTTTATTTCTTCAAAAATGAAAATATATTAGAAATATTAGCAAGTAAGAACTATACATTTATAGCAATATTACTAAACTAATACTGTAATAATAGAGATAACAAGGTGTAGAGCTGGATGAACACAGCAGGCCAAGCAGCATCATCGGAGCAGGAAGGC